TATCTGTTATTAAGCTCTTCACACCAAGTACAAAGTTTCATCACAGAAACAAGTGTGTGAGGAACAGCAGAGACAATCTAAACATTTTATATGCAGTGTCATGTCTAATCTGAAAATTGCAATTTTATGAAACATTGAAAACATAGCATTAGCTGATAAGGACAAGATTTAAAAACTGAAAGAACCAAAACTTCTGCTCAGTGTGGTGCCAAAACATTAATCCCAGTATGCAAGAGGCAGAGGAGGAAGGACCTGTGAGCTAGAGGTTGGCTCATTCTACACAGTAAGTTCAAGTTCCAAACAAGTCTCACCAGAGCTACATAATGAGACCTTGTCTCAGTAATAGCAACAACAAGTAACAGCTTTGCTAGGCCTCAGAGGAGGACACTGCACCCAGTCATGATTAGACCTGATTACCTAGGGTCAGATGGAAGGGGAGGAGGACTTGGAGAGGGACAGGGAGGAGATGAGGGAGGGAGGGAGGAGAGAATGAGGGAGGGGACTATAGCTGGGATAGAAGCTAAATAAAGTGTAATTATTATAAAATTAAAATTAAAAAGATAAAATTAAAAAAAAGCAACAACAGAAAGAAGAAGCATAACCCCTGTTTTACCATGACTGCAACCATAATGAATACTGTCCTAGGTTTAACCAGATATTACTCCAATCACTCTGTATACAACTAAACCTACATGGCTGCTTCTGGAAATTAACTTCTGTCTGCATTCTCTTCATCTCACCCCTTTTATTTTTTCTTCTATCATCATTTTATTTATTTTTTTACACTTTATTCATTTTGTATCCCCCCATAAGCCCCTCCCTCCTCCCCTCCTGATCCCACCCTCCCTCCCTTTCTGCATGCATGTTCCTCCCCAAGTCCACTGATAGGGGAGGTTTTCCTCTCCTTTCTGATCTTAGTCTATCAGTTCTCATCAAAAGTGGCTGCATTGTCCTCTACCATGGCCTGGTAAGGCTGCTCCCCTCTCAGGGGGAGGTGATCAAAGAGCAGGCCAATCAGATTATGTCAAAGGCAGTCCCTCTTTCCATTACTATGTAACCCACTTGGACACTGAACTGTCTTGTAGCTACATCTGTGCAGGGGTTCTAGGTTATCTCCAAGAATAGTCCTTGGTTGGAGTATGAGTCTCTGGGAAGTTCCCTGTGTTCAAATTATCTTGTTCTGTTGCTCTGTTTGTGGAGTTCCTGTCCCCTCCAGCTCTTACTATTTCCCACTTCTTACATAAAATTCCATTCACTCTAGTAATATGAGCATTTCATTCATTGCTTGTATTATTTGAAGTAGATCAATAGATTGTTGGAGTAATATAGTTTTAAAAGCTTAAAGTCAATAAATGTAAAATTGTTATAAAAAACTACAAGTTTAGTCTGTTAAAAATACAGATTACAATTTGTACCATGCTTAGTAGTTAAAGCAATTTTCCAGTTAATTATACTACACACACACACACACACACACACACACACACACAATCAATGTAAGAAGTCTTTTTTAATTTTATTTTTAAAGATACATAAAATTGTTTTTTAAAATATGTGAGTGTTGGAAATTCTGGATTACTTCAAGTTTTCTATATTTATTAAAAATATTGGATTAACTCTTATACAGCACATGGTTATATATGTGTATATGTACAGCACACTAAATATTGCCATTCTTATTTGGTTTCTCATAAAACTACTTCTTTAAACTCAAACTGAAATCTTAGCTTAATTTTGAGGTTTATATGCCTATCTAACTACATAATTTTATGTCATCTGTAAATTATTTTTTTCTTATATCCTGTGATATATACTTTTTTTTTGCAAAACTAAGAAAAACCTGAAAGTATCTTGTTTTAGAAGCTATTAGCTCCTTTCCTTTTCAGTTATAAATTCTGTCCTTTTTGTGTCCATACTGTCCAGTCTTCATGAGAATTCAAATATTTCACAATGCTTACAGCTAAGGATCTGATTGGTCTTTTCTAGTGTCAACAGTTGAAATATAAATAGCCAAGAGAGCAGCTGAAGTGATAATAAATGAGAACTTGATAAATCAATAACCATAAACACTGCAAAAAGGTCTATTTAATATTTATGTGTGGTCAATAAATGCACATAAAAGAGAATTATAACAACATAAAGAAAACACATTTTTTAGAAGGGAATATAAATTGTCTATATTATTGCCGTATTTCTTTTATTCACACATTGTTTCCAGTAGAAAACTGAAAATTGTGAATGGTGTTGTTTCTCTAATTTCTTTCTCAGCCCTTTTGTCTTTTGTATACAGGAGTGCTACTGATTTTTTTTTTGAGTTAATTTTGTATCTGGCCACTTTGCTGAAGGTGTTTATCAGCTGTAGGAGTTCCCTGGTAGAATTTTTGGGTTCACTCATGTATACTATCATATCATCTGCAAATAGTGATAATTTCACTTCTTCCTTTCCCATCTGTATCCCCTTGATGTCCTTCAACTGTCTTATTGCTCTAGCAAGGGCTTCCAGCACTATGTTGAAGAGATGTGGAGACAGTGGGCAGCCTTGTCTTGTTCCTGATTTCAGTGGGATTGCTTTAAGCTTCTCTGCATTCAGTTTGATGTTGGCTATAGGCTTGCTGTATATGGCCTTTACTATGGGGATGGGAACTCCACAAGGAGAGCAACAGAACAAGATAATTTGAACACAGGGAACTTCCCAAAGACTCATACTCCAACCAAGGACTATTCGTGGAGATAACCTAGAACCCCTGCACAGATGTAGCCCATGGCAGTTCAGTGTCCAAGTGGGTTACATAGTAATGGGAACAGGGACTGCCTCTGACATAATCTGATTGGCCTGCTCATTGATCACCTCCCTCTGAGGGGGGAGCAGACTTACCAGGCCACAGTAGAGGACAATGCAGTCACTTTTGATGAGAACTGATAGACTAAGATCAGAAAGGAGAGAAACTTCCCCTATCAGTGGACTTGAGGAGTGGCACGCATGCAGAAAGGGGAGGGAGGGTGGGATCGGGAGGGGAGGAGGGAGAGACTTATGGGGAGATACAAAATGAATAAAGTGTAATTAATAAAAAATTTAAAAAAAAGAAAACTGAAAATTGTTAAAATTTTGTATTGACCATCTTCCCTAGACAAAAATATGGTTGCTAAATTTTACATGTAGCCTTATAGTCTTCTCTTGGAAATAAATAAGCAAATAAAAAAAAGAAAAATTAATGCAGGTAATGACAAGTTGTTCATTAGAATGATTTGAAAAATAGGTCATTTAGAAATTAATTAATATGAATTGCTTAGGAAATACATGAAAAGAGCTTTGACAGTCATCGGATTACAAATGTCTCCTTTTCTGTGAACATTTTTTCTGCATCTGTAAAACTACAAGGGTGAACGGTTTTTGTCAGAGAGACACTGATATCCAACTGTGTGTCCTTTCTATGCTGTCTGCTCCCCCCAAAATAAAAAGAATGGCAAAGCAATTTTAAGTCCTTACACAGAAAAGTTTGCTTGCTGAACTTGAAATGTCCTGATGATACCTATTAACCAGAGTGTGAAAGTGATGTCAAATGAGGGATATGAGAGGATAGCACATGACTAATCTAAAAGGAAATAGGATGGCAGAAAAGGATCTGTGATTGAACTGGACTGGGCAAGTACATATGACCCAAGCAGCCACAAAACAGAGCTCTCAGAAATGAGGAAATAATAGGCTTCAGTTAACAGAGACTGTATTTGAAAAGGCACATTGGCCCACACAAAATGAAATGGAACAGGATTTTTGACTATTTCTCAGAATAAATGTCCTTCTGGTTTGAGAGATGTGGATATAGCTGTGGTGCCAAAAGTTCTATCTTTTATTCTAATCTTGGCCTTATTCAATTTGTTTGCTGTTGTCAGTGGCTGAGTTCTCATACATTTAATGTTAAATACTTGTACAAGGAGAAAAAATAAAAAGAAATTTATGTTATGTGGGTGTTGTAGAAAGTAAAAACATTTATGATGCTACTTTCAGGCTCTTGTCATACCTGAGCATTGTGTTTAAATTAGGAGGAATCAGAGGGATGAGAAGAATGCCATGAGGATGAAACACTACAGATGAGATTAGTCAGGGAAAATAAATAGGTAATAAAACGTTTTTAAGTGTTGTTATACCAAAAATTATAGAATGCCATGAGCTAAAACAATAAAAGGGGTTAAAAGGTAAAAGAAAGAGGAGTTATGCAGTAAATCAGACTGAAATCTAGGACCCCAAAATAGAGTTTAAATGCTAAGGAGCAGCTTTCAAGGATGCTGAAACTGACATTGTAGTATACCATCTTCTTTCTTCTCCTTCTGTTCTTGCTCCATTCTTCACCTACATTACCTTCACGAGAGAACCCCGATTGCTTGGTTTAAGAAGGAGAACATTAAGAAGATCTTTATTTTTCACACAGTCCATTTTAATTATAAACTCTAATGAACTAGTTACTAAGAAACATTATTACTTTCTAATAAATTTCATTGTATATAATAACTACATTTTTTAACATTGACACAAAGTACTTTTATTATGATTTTGATCTTTGAGGATAATTTGATTTGTATATATACATATACAAATTAAAGCATATCTAGATGATTAATTGTGGGTCATAACCACATTTGACTTTTTGGTTTTTTGTTGTTGTTGTTTTTGGTGCTCCTTTTTCTTTTCATTTTTTTGTTTCAGACAAGATCTAGCAAAGAAGTTGTCTAAGTTAGCATTCAATTAGTGATTCTTTTGCCCCAGCTTACCCAGTTTTAGGACAGAAAGTGTGAGCCAACCTACTTGGAAGATTTCCCACCTTTCTATCTAAGTATGTGAATGGTACATTTCACACATATCTCATTGGAAGACTTTATACCAATAGCTTACCAATAATAAAACTAGTCAAATATTTTAGAAAAATTGTTAGTGATGTAGAATTGTTATCAGAGATAATAGGTATTACTTTTAGTTGCTGTATTACCCAGATAAAAATTCTTACCTTTCCTACATACTGAGTGTCTGTGCCTGTGTACTCTTCCAACAGGAAGAACTGGTTCCACATCCAGCCACGCTTGGTGCGATGAAGCATTTTACCATCCTCTTTTGTCAGATTCACTCTCCTTCTCAGTAAATGATTGCTATCTTTCGCTTGTAGTGGGCTGTTGTCAACCGCATGGAACAGGTAAGTCCAGACGATCAGTGAAAAACAATGAAAAGTCCTCATTATCTTCAACTTCAGAAGGATGAAAATTTCAATATACGGTCTGTAGAAGAAAATGATTGTATTAGGATATGTCTCACTTTCATATATCCTTCATGCTGTAACACTTTTACATGTATATAAATTTTTAAATATGTATATATATATATATTTGTTTGTAAAATACATCAGAGAACTCTTTCTAACCATAAATATTGAAATATACACATAATACATAGGTAATATTTTACATATATGTTCAGCTTAGTTTAAGATGACCATTTTAAAAAATGTGCACAAATTCAAACCAGAAAAATTCTGGAAACTAAACTTTTAATACAACAGTCATGCTATTATGTCTTTTGACATTACAAGCCTTCATAGTGAGGAATATTTAGAAATATGTTCATGTCAATGAGCCCATACACTTTAAAGAACATTGTTTACTTCCCCTTATCTACGGTTTTTCAGAATGTATTCTCCATCCACCTTGTATTTTAGAAATGGACCTACTGAAAGTAAGGAAGTGAGAAAAAAATAGGTCATAACTAATATGAAAATTAGATTCATTCAACTCAAAATAGGTGAAAGTCTTAGATTTATGACCAAAGTCTTTCAGAGGCCTTCTATGGTAAGCTCCTGTTTCTTGTTTTCTCCTACCTCCAATGTCTATCCCATTTGTCTTTCTAAGTGAGGACTGATCATCTTACCCCGGGTCCTCCTTCTTGTTTAGCTTCTTTAGGTGTACAGATTTTAGTATCTTTGTCCTATCATATAGATCTAGTATCCACTTATAAGTGAGTATATACCGTGTGTGTCTTTCTGCTTCTGGTAATATAGGATGGCAGAGAAACACCTAAAGAGATATGCAAAGGGAGATGCAAATCAAAACGACCCTGAGATTTCACCTTTCGCCCAGGAGAATGGCTAATATCAAAATCTCAAGTGATAGTCTGCAGGGCAGAGGCTTTCAGAGGCCCTCTGTGGTAGGTTCCTTGTTTGTTTCCTGTTTTCTTCTTATGGCTTTCAGAAGCCCTCTGTAGAAGGTTCATAGGTTGTTTCCTGTTTTCTTCTTCTTCTGATGTCCATCCTCTTTGCCTTTCAGGATGGGGATTGACCGTTTTAGTTAGGATCCTCTCTCTTGCTTAGTTTATTTAGATGCACAGATTTTAGTGGGTTTGTCCTATGTTGTATATCTATATGAGTGAATATATACCGTGTGTGTCTTTTTGCTTCTGAGACAACTCACTCAGGATGATCCTTTCCAGGTCCCACCATTTACCTGCAAATTTCATGATTTCCTTATTTTTCATTGCTGAGTAATATTCCATTGTATAGATGTATCACAATTTCTGCATCCATTCTTCAGTTGAGGGGCATCTGGGTTGTTTCCAGCTTCTGGCTATTACAAATAAAGCTGCTACAAACATGATTGAGCAAATGTCCTTTTTGTGTACTTGAGCCTCTTTTGGATATATGCCTAGGAGTGGTATGGCTGGATCTTGGGGAAGCACTATTCCTAGTTGTCTGAGAAAGCACCAGATTGATTTTCAGAGTGGCAGATGCTGAGCCTGATGACCAACTGTTGGTCAGAGTGAATGGAATTTTATGTAAGAAGTGGGAAATAGTAAGAGCTGGACGGGACGGGAACTCCACAAGGAGAGCAACAGAACAAGATAATTTGAACACAGGGAACTTCCCAGAGACTCATACTCCAACCAAGGACTATTCTAGGAGATAACCTAGAAACCGTGCACAGATGTAGCCCATGGCAGTTCAGTGTCCAAGTGGGTTACATAGTAATGGGAAGAGGGACTGCCTCTGACATAATCTGATTGGCCTGCTCGTTGATCACCTCCCCCTGAGGGGGGAGCAGCCTTAACAGGCCGCAGTAGAGAACAATGCAGCCACTTTTGATGAGAATTGACAGACTAAATTCAGAAAGGAGAGGAGACCCTCCCCTGTCAGTGAACTTGGAGAGTGGCATGCATGCAGAAAGGGGAGGGAGGGTGGGATCAGGAGGGGAGGAGGAAGGGGCTTATGGGGGGATACAAAATGAATAAAGTGTAATTAATAAAAAATTAAAAAAAATCTCAAGTGACAACACATGCTGGAGAGGTTGTAGAAAAAAGGGGAGTTCTGTGGTTGAATTTTTGGGGTCACTCATATATACTATCATATCATCTGCGAATAGTGACACTTTGACTTCTTCCTTTCCGATTTGTATCCCCTTGATCTCCTTTAGTTGTCTTATTGCCTTGGCTAGGACTTCAAGCACTATGTTGAAGAGGTATGGAGAGAGTGGGCAGCCTTGTCTTGTCCCCGATTTCAGTGGGATTGATTTAAGTTTCTCTCCATTGAGTTTGATGTTGGCTATAGGCTTGCTGTTTATTGCCTTTACTATGTTTAGATATGTGCCTTGTATTCCTGATCTCTTCAAGACTTTAAACATGAATGGGTGTTGGACTTTGTCAAATGCTTTTTCAACATCTAAGGAGATGATCATGTGGTTTTTCTCCTTCAGTTTTTTTATGTGGTGGATTACATTGATGGATTTCCGTATGTTGAACCATCCTTGCATGCCTGGGATGAAGCCTACTTGGTCATGGTGGATGATATCTTTGATGTGTTCTTGGATTCGGGTTGCAAGTATGTTATTGAGTATTTTTGTGTCAATGTTCATAAGGGAGATAGGTCTGAATTTCTCTTTTTTTGTTGCGTCTTTGTGTGGTTTAGGTATGGAGAACAGAGCTAAACAGAGAATTCTCGACAGAGGAATATCGAATGGCAGAGAAACACTTAAAGAAATGCTCATCCTCATTAGCCATCAGGGAAATGCAAATCAAAATGACCCTGAGATATCACCTTACACCCATCAGAATGGCCAAGATGAAAAACTCAGGGAGAACACATGTTGGAGAGGTTGTGGAGAAAGGGGAAAGCTCCTCCACTGCTGGTGGGAATGTAAACTGATACAACCACTCTGGAAATCTATCTGGCGCTTTCTAAGACAATTAGGAATAGTGCTTTCTCAAGACCCAGCTATACCACTGCTAGGTATATACCCAAAGTTTGCTCAAGTACACAAAAGGGATATTTGCTCAACCATGTTTATAGCAGCATTATTTGTAATAGCCAGAACCTGGAAACAACCCAGATGTCCATCAACGGAGGAATGGGTACAGAAATTGTGGTATTTTTACACAATGGAATACTACTCAGCAATCAAAAAGGAGGAAATCATGAAATTTGCAGGCAAATGGTGGGATCTAGAAAAGATCATCCTGAGTGAAATATCCCAGAAGGAGAAAGACAAACACAGTATATACTCACTTATATAGACATATAAGATATGATAAACATAATGAAATCTATACACATAAAAAAGATAATCAAGAGAGCGGACATGGGGTAAGATTATCAATCCTCGTTTTGAAAGACAGATTGGATGCACATTGAGCATATGACAGGAGTCTACTGAGCGCATTTTAAAGACTCTAACTAGCAGTGTTTTCAAAGCAAAGACTCATGACCAAACCTTTGGCAGAGTACAGGGAATCATAAGAAAGAAGGGGAGTTAGTCTGATGAGGAAAGGATAGGAGCTCCATAAGGACCAAATATATCTGGACACAGGGTCTTTTCTGAGACTGACATGCAACCAAGGACCATGTATGAATGTAACCTAGAACCTCTGCTCAGATGTAGCCTGTGCTAGCTCAGTAACCAATTGGTTTCCCATAGTGAGGGGAACAAGGACTATTTCTAACAGGAACTCCATGACTGCCTCTTTGGCCTCCCCACCCCCCAAGGGAGGAGCAGTCCTGTTAGGCCACAGAGGAGGACTTTGCAGCCAGCCCTGAAGATACCTGATAAAACAGGATCAGATGAATGGGGAGGAGGTCCCCCCTATTAGTGGACTTGGCAAGGGGCATGGTGGAGATGAGGGAGGGAGGGAGGTACTGGGAGGGAATGAGGGATCAGGACACGGCTGGGATACAGAGTTAATAAAATGTAACTAATAAGAAAAAAATAAAATTAAAAAAAAAAAGAAAAAAGAAAAAGGAGAACCCTCCTCCATTGCTGGTGGGAATGTAATTTGTACAACTACATTGGAAATCAGTCTGGTGCTTTCTCAGACAATTAAGAATAGTGCTTTCTAAAGATCCAGCTCTACCACTCCTAGGTATGTTCAAGTACACAACAAAGACATTTGTTCAACCATGTTTATAGCAGCTTTATTCATAATAGCCGGAAGCTGGAAATAACCCAATGTCCCTCAACGGAGGAATGGATATAGAAATCATGGTACTTTTACACAATGGAATACTACTCAGAAATTAAAAATAAGGAAATCATAAAATTTGCAGGCAAATGGTAGGATCTAAAAAAGATAATCCTGAGTGAGGTATCCCAGAAGCAGAAAGACACATGGTATATACTCACTTTTTAAATTTTCTGTTCATTTCAATATTTTTTTATTAATTACACTTTATTCACTTTGTATCCCTCCCTGTAGCTCCTTCCCACTTCCCCTCCTAATCGCTCCCTCTCTCCCACCTCTCCACTCATGTCCCTCCCCTATCAGTGGACTTGGGGAGGGGCATGCGTGTATACTCACTTGTAAGTGTGATAAATTTTGATTTATTGAATATATGAGTAATACAAAAAGAACCCATTGTCAAAATTAACTTAATTAAACATGGGCAAGAAACTTAAATCAGCATTTCTGAAGAAAAATGAAATATTATTCAGATATTTGAAAAATTCAGTTTACAAATATAATATATAAAAATGCAAACAAAACCATAATAGGTTATTAAATTATTCCCGTGAGAATGAATTATGAAAATCAGAAAATAAATTCTGGAAAAATAACGTAGGCAAAAAGATCCATAAAAATTGTTAGATAGATTGAAATAATACATGAACATTTTTTTTCTTCCAGAAAAAAAAATCATAGAGACGCCTCACAAATTAAAATTAGAATAGAAATTAATAAGATTTTATTGTAGGATTCTATTTTTCATTAATTTTTAAATAGATGTGAGACTTCTAGCTCTAAT